TTCTCATCCTCCGTCAACCCGTTGACAGCAAAGTAACGCTCCACCTTGTATATCCAGCCATGGCCGTCTTCCCCCTCGAAAACAGGCACTTCAATTTCCTCACCTTGGGATTCTCCCCGGTATCTCCATACCTCCCATTCCTCGAAAGGAAAAGCTCCCAAGCGTTCCCGTCCTCCTCCGACGCTGGTATCCGAGTTCGTCGTCATAATCCCCCTTCCTCTTTCAAAATCAGCACCTCGACGCTGAAATTCAGCACCTCGACGCTAATACTCTTCTATCCTTTCTCCAAAATCTGCACTACCTTCATATTCCCCCGTCTGCCTCCAAAATCAACACCTCGACGCTGAAAATCAGCACCTCGACGCTGAAAATCAGCACCCGACGATCATTTCCCATGCTCATCTTCCTCTCTAGAGAAGTGGCTCTAGAGGTGGCATGTCGTCGTCCCCTTCAAGAATCTCCACCTCCGGATTCCTCCTCCCCCGGATTGGGTTTGGATTTCCTCCTACGCCTGGCCGTCAGTAGTCTCTCTCACTTCCGATGTCTCCGGATTGGTCTTCATCTCCAATAGTTTCTCATCATTTTCTTCCATAGCGCGAACCTCCCTTCCAACCTGTCATTGTTGGTGGAGATTTCCAGGAACTTTCCCTCCAGATCTGTCTTTAGTTGTCCGAACTCGCCTTCTAATGCTTCCACCTTCTTTCCGGCCATCTTTCTTCTAACGGATCCCAAATATTCTTCTTCCGGAAAAGAAAAACTTGCTGAAATTTCAGAATTTCAGCCGCCGGTGGTCCCAAATCGACGCTCTGATACCAATTTGATAGGAAATACTTTTGTCACAAGTAATCCTATCCCAAATCAGTAAAAACCAATAGTAAAACTGCTGTCCACAGCGGAGAAACGACAAGAAACAGGGAGAAATTGCGAGAAAACAACCAGTTTAAAGACTTGTATTCCACTAGGTGCAAAGCAAGATAATCAAGATACAATTGTTCTTCGATCCGAGAGGAAGAACGTACTCTCCACAATCTCCGGCGATGCCAAGAGCCCAAAACAAAACCTAGATCTCAAACGAAAATTCAAAATTCAAGATGAGGAGCCAATCCCCCAAAAACTCCTAATTATACAAATTAATCATAAAGGACAATAATGGACTTCCTAAAACATCCTCTCATTCAAAAATTTTCCCTCCCCCCATGCGTTTTAGCTGCTGTTTGGGCCCAGCAAATCCCGCTCCTGCGCGCGTTCCGCCTGGTTCCGCCCGACTTTGGGCCGTCGGGTGTAGAACCGGACCGGTCCAGGCGTAACATATTATTATTATTATTATTATTATTATTATTATTCAATGTTTAACATTACATTATCTTAATATGTACAATGTGTGATTTAGTAAGTCCTTGAGAGTTTTTTTGGAGTTATTTGTGAGCTGATTCAATGCAAAACATGCTACAGAGGATCAGTGAAGTTTGGAGATCATGATTGACTTGATCGCTTGACAACTTCACTTTTTGAATGATTAAGACTCAATATAATCCTACAAGAATGAGCTAATTTGAAAAACCATAAAGCTTAAGTTGGATTCAAGCCTTCAAGCCACCTTCATATGGCTTAACATTGCATACGAGCCTAAAAACCTTGTTGCAACCTCATAATGGCTGAGTAAAGCCTTTCAATTTAAAAGCTCATCCCATATTCAAACTTTCATGCGGTTGAATGTAACCTATGAACTAAAATATCTGGTGATACCTCTTAATGTCTAGGTATAGTCATCAAGTTTAAAAAATTCAGATTAGATCAAATTCTTCTTACTGCAAAATATTAAAGTTAATTTGAATGACCATAGAGCTTTGTTTGCAAGAATTGAGCAAAACATAAGAGCTGTAAATCATGGGTGCAAATTGATTGAGCGATGAAAGGCTGTATAGCCTCTCAACAAATAACTTTAGTTTTTCTATCGTGTTTTCCAAAATTCTCTTACTAGGATTTTCTCAAAATTTAAATGGCTAAGTTGCTTATTTATTCCACATAATTAACTCAATTGATAATCTTGACTTAGAGATATGAGAATAACCATCTATTACTTTATTCTAAGCAAGTACATGTCAAGTTAAATAATCTTATTCTTGTAGTCAAGAAAACAAGCTTTAACCTAACAGATGCCGAAGGAGCCAAATAAAATCAATAAATCATGCCGCTAAAATTTGCACAAAGCCATTGGAGAGGTCACGTGGATTTAGAAACCAAGTGGCCGTCAATTTTAGTTGTTATTGAATCAAAACCAAGTGCTCCAAGCACCTTAGGTCGAACATTCTAATACAAAATTCAATGAATAAACCTAGAGTTAAGCTTGCCCAAGCCAAGGGGCAGCTTAAACTCCTTTATAAGCATAACTGTAGTTTTAATTCTTTTAAGGCTTTAACAATTTAAGAAGCTTAGTAGGTTTTTATTCAAGCTTAACTTGAACTATTTAGTGTAGTTGGATCAGTACTGTTTTAGTACTACCATACATATTATTTATCGAGCAGAATCATAAGTTTTTATTTGGTTCGCATTTTGCTAGTTAAAGCTTGGTCGACATGGAAAAGCTTAATGATCCTTATCACCACACCGTGAAATGTCCATAAATAGCCCTGATCATATCGAGCAATGATGTTGTTCAACTTAGACAAATTTCGTTTGTGTGTAAAAGCTCAACAAAGTGATAATCTAAAAAAAACATGTATAACTAGATGAATACTGGGACAACATATTCATTTTGCAGAATAAATAGGGCCATAAACATGGAAAAAGCTGAGGATCCGATGAGATGTCTCGTGATAGGAGGAATCGACATCATTTACTATGAGGTGGGCTCTCTTGGATGATATGATAATGCTTAGTATTGATGGACGAGTGCATATAGACCAAGCTCTGATTTGTCAAGAATACTGCCATGCAGCAAGGGCCGAGTACTAAATTGCAGTGTTTCATAAGCCCAACACATAAAATCATTCATTGTTAGATGGATGCCACGAGCAAGTATGCTACCCTATGTTGAATCCTTAATCTCTCCTCAAGCAACTGGTAGTGGATAGCTACCCATAATATACTTCTCATAGATGTAGGTTAGCACAAGAGAACCAAATAATATGTCACTACAACTCACATGACTAGATACCTTAAAACTACTTGGGCAAGAGATATGGGAATGAGTCGTGAGTTGAACACAAATCGGGAGATATGAGACTGAGTCGTGAGTTGAACACAAACCGGGAGATATGGGAATGAGTCATGAGTTGAACACAAACCGGGAGATTGGCCAAGGAGCACCTGCACAACTTGTCGTCGATTGACTTGACCACACCATTGCTTGTTCAATTAAAAGCCAAATGATCAGCAATGAATGTCCCATGCAAATACCTAGGCCTTTTGTATGCATTTCATGTCATCTGATATTATTATTGCATAAGGATTAATATTATTATTGCATAATGATTTGCATTTGTTGTAATTCTCTTACTTCCAAAGTCTGTAGTTTGCATGATAAATAATGTTGGTTTTTATATTAGCATTTGACATGCATCATATTATGGAGGTCAACCTTAGAGTCTAAAGGTCTTCATTTGAGTAGATCTAAAACCAAATATCTGGAGTGCAATTTTAGTAGTAATATATTTAGGAGGGGGATTGTGTCTCTGAGCTATCAATTCATTAATAAGAGTACACGCTTTAGATATCTTAAGTCTATTATTCATAGTGATGGTGAAATAGATGAGGATATTATTAGTAGAATTTTGATAGGAAGTGGATGTAGAAATTGAAAACACTAGGAAGAAGAACATACAAGAACTTTTATTGAAAGATATATCAAAGAAAAAACAAGATACAATTGGATGTTCAATTGGAGAGGAAGATCCAGCTCTCCTAAATCCCTAGCCGCCGGCTAAAGCCCTCTAAAAAAAAACTACAACAAACACAAATCACCTCCTCCCAAAATAACAACATAGTTAGCCTTAACTAGGCTCCCCCTAATACCCTCCCAAATCAGTGCCATTTCCTTAAATAATTCCCTCTTAAATTTTGAATTCAAATTAGATATATTGTCCTAAATAATTCATTCCCAATTATAATTAAAATTTTTCTGAACAATTTCCCCTTGATTCCTCCTCCCTTTCCCTAAATAATTCCCTCTTAGATTTTTTGAATTCAAATTAGATCTCTTGATATAAATAATTCCCTATCAATTGTGATTAAAACTTTCCTAAACAATTCCAATTCCCCTTTGATTAAGAAAATTTCTAAACAATTCCCTTTTGATTAGGAAACTTTATAATTTCCTCCCAATTAAATCGGCTAGTCCATCAAAATTAAGTTGGATGGCTACAGTGGAGGAATGCATCGGGCTTGTTGTGTAATAGAAAAGTCCCCCTCTCAAACTTAAGTGAAAATTCTATAAGATGGTGGTGAGAAATGTTTCATGGCGCATAATGTTGGCCATTAAAAGAGAAGCATAATATTAAGTTAAGTATTGCAGAGATGAGGATGTTCAGATGGACGATTGTCTTTAATTTTAGAGATAGGATACAAATTGAGCATATACTTGAAAAGGTTGGAGTAGTTCAAGTGGAAGATAAGATTAGAGAGAGTCACCTTAGATGGTTTGATCACATAAAACGACGACCTTCCGATGATCCGATTAGGAGAGTAGATGTATTAGATTTGCCTTATGTTAAGAAAGGTAGGGGTAGACTAAAAAGACTTGGTTAGAAAATATTAGAATTGATCTTTTTTATTAGATTTAAATGAGAATTTGACTCTTAATTGGACACAATGGAGAAAAAGAATTCATCTAGCTGACCCCACATAGTGGGATAAAGGCTTAATGTTGTTGTTGTATTGGGCATGCATCATATTACTAGTAATGATTACTTTTGCTCGATCGCTCATTTGTTTTTACTTGCTCACCAATTTTCCCTTTTCAAGAGGTTAAATTTCTAATTATTATTTTGCAAATTTTATAGGTTACTTCTGGAGCTGAACTAGCCACTTTGTTTGTAGAGATTCTTGTCAAAGGAAAGTATCCTTTTAGTGAAGAAACGCTTGGTCAGTTTCATTTTCTTGACAGTAGCATTTGTGCTTTTTTATTTTATGCAGATTATTTTGTCTTTATTTTTGGATGTAGCCAGCCTGCTTTTTGATTTGAAATGTGCTGCATCGCATTTATGAAAAAGATGCCATGCATGCCTTGTAGTTTAGGTATGAAGCTGCACATATAGACAATGTTCTTTAGAAGCCCTTTTAACTAGCTTATTTTTCTTGTATGTTTTTGAAGCAGTGATTGCAATTTCTTACAAGAATGGAGTCTTAGTTCAACTCAAATTTTGAATGACTAATGTCTTCATTCATCTGTTGGTTAATCCATTGGTTAGTTGAATCCTTGTATGTGTAGTCATGCTTTTTTATTACTATTTAGAATTTAGGGTCCATTTAGAGCAACTGTAGCTTTTTGTAAAGGCACTCATAGAGCTATTATGGGAACACAACTTTCTTTAAAACGAATGAGGGAATCCACCCTAAGAAGATCAATATATCCTGAAAACAAACCCACCAAAAACTCCCTAGGATAACTAGAGGGAAGAAGGGAAAATTGTCTTTTAAGTAGTTTTTTTAATTAATTGAAATGACCCTCCTTTCTCTAACTTTGTCATTCTTCCTGGATTGAAGTAGACTAGTCTCTAATGTATTAAACATTTTCTTATTCATAGCGAGGTGAAAGTACTGCAATTTTGAATTTTGGTAGGGCAACCATTTCTTGTAAAATTCTCCTTTGTTGGAATAAAGTTCTTTTGATCATTGTGAATCTCACCAACTACAACCAGAGAGTACTAATGAAAGAATATCATCGACTATGAGCATCAACGATTCTATTTTAAACACCCGATTTTTGTTGTAGTTTGTATTGCACTTGTGAAAATAATTCACAACCCAATTTATATGCCTATATTTGGTAGAAAAGTCATCATATTATTGCTACAATGAAGGCTTAATCTTTTCTACTATATACTCTTATTCTTGATTTTTTTTTGTGTGGGAATTCTTGCATAGCTTTTATGAACATTGATTTGGAGATTATTGAATTAGTTCCTGAAATTATTTATTTAAAGGCATCAATACCACATTCTTGTCCCCACACTTTAATATATAAGTATTATTTTGATTGTGATAGACAAAATTTATCACATTGCCGTGGCCCTCCTGAAAGTAAATGGTAAGCATCCATATGTTTCTCGCACCAAACCTCTTATATAATTTCCTTCCTATAGAAAACTGTACTAAACTTAGTTTGATCACCTTTATTTCTTTCCCTTTATGAAGTCAAGCTTGTTTGTAAGGTGTAGGGTGATATTGTCTAGGCAAGTTTAACTTTTCTACCATCATTGAGGACATCATGTTTTCATAACTCCCATAATTAACGATAACATTGCCCAATTTTCCTTGCATCATACATCTAGCACAAAAGGTAGTGCGGCGGAGCCACCTTGATACTTGGTTTATGGTGGTATTTAAAACTTGTTGAATAATAAGAAACTCTCCATCTATGATGCACGGACACGGACACGACACGGACACGGGACACGGCTTTTTTTGAAAATATAGGACACGGGTACGACGCAGACACGGCAATACATTTTTTTATATAGTATATATATATATTAATGTAATATCATATTAAAAACGACAAACAATAATAAATGAATGACATGATAACTTGTCTAGCTTATAATATAAAATATTTAGTATAAAATATCTAGTACAACCACAAAAATATAAGCAAATAATGACTTACTACAACATCAAGCATTCAAGCTTCAACTAGTATGATTAGCTTTAGAGGTTTGTTTTTGGCCTTCAATATCATCATCATTGAATATCACTGCTTTCAACTCGGGTTCAATAAGAGAAAGATTTGTAATTGTGCAAAAAAAGAGGAGATGAAAATACTTTCACTACCAAAGAGAAATGAAAATGAGAATATTCGATGAATGGGTATTAAATGCAGGCATTGATTTGGTGTTGTGGATAGGAAATAAGAAATTTAGTTTAAATCTCGCCAAATATAAGAAATTATATTTTAAAAAAATTATAAAATATTTAAGATACGCGTGTTGGACACGCGTGTCCAATTTGTTTTTAATATTTTTTTAATCGGACACGTTTTCGGCGTGTCCGACACGTGTCGGAGGAGTGTCGGACGAGTGTCGTGTCGGACACGGTGTCGGACACCGCACGCCTCTTTGAGGAGAAGTGTCGGTGCATCATAGCTCTCCATTATCAGCATATACTAGGCGCTTGGCTTCATCATTAGGGGTGTCTTCTACTTCATTTTTATAATCGGGTGGGGCTTCTTCAACTAAGAACATAACATTGCGATTAGGATATTGCGATGCAATGTGTTCAAAATTTAAACATCCAAATCATTTTATAAGTGAATTCTTAGTATTAGATGTGCTAGCCTTACTATTTTTGGATGCTTTGAAATATTTGGTGGATTGTTTTTTAGGCAATATTCAGGTGTGCCATCACAAGTTTCTTTAACAATTCTATAAGATTCTTGTCCTAAACTAGAGTTCTTAGTATTATATTTTTGTTGTTCTACACTTCTACCCTTAGAGCTGATTTAGTGACATCATATAATGTCGAATATTGTAGTAGCTGTAAGATATTATGGGACCCATACCACCAATGAATCGAGCAATGGTATGCTCCTTGGGTGCAACTACAACACATTTCAACATCAAGTGTTCGGATTCATCTATATATTTTTCTGCAAAAGAGTGTCTTTTTTGAAATTATGAAGTTTGATAAGACTTTTTCCCTAAAAATGAAATGTCATGTACCTTTTTTGTAGTTCTTTTTCATCTACTCCCATGTGACCATTTTATTCTTACCATTTTTAATCAAATAAAATTTTCCTGCAAAATGAATGCATATTTTTTGCTTGCCACTAATTTAAAATTTTTATGTGCTTAACAGTAGGTATGCCTTTTTATTCAAATGCACATTAGTACTTTATGTAGCCAATGTATGCAAATTCATGGTTTTAAAAAACATCTGAGGCGGACGCCTCGAGCCGCGATGTGGGCGCACTAAGGCTTAAGCCTCGACTACTCAAATGGAACTTACGCCTTTTTCATATATATATATATATATATATAGTCGTGCGTGAGTCGAGCGCGCTTATTAGACTTAGGGCTTCTTCTATTTCGAAGCACTCCCGCTATTGTAATACTCTCTCATTCTCGTTCTCTCTAGTTTCTTTGTGTACACTTCTTCAGCCTCGCTCTCTAGTTCTGCTTCTCCTTCATGTACACTGCTTTGTCCTCGCCTGCCTCAGCTGCTTTGTCCTCGCCTGCCTCAGCTTCTTTGGCCTCTCTTGCCGCAACTGCTTCGGCCTCGCTTGCCTCGATTGCTTCGGCCTCACCCGCTTTGTGTTAGGACGCATTCTTTCGAGCGAGCGACCTCTCCTGCTTCATATCAGGATGAGTTCTTCCGAGTGATAGGTGACGATCAATCTTTCCGCTCAAGCCCGTGTGGGGTTCGACTTCTTTGTGAGAAGCAAAATTTCGATAGTTTTGTAACTTTCAGCCTCACCTGCTTCTTTTACTGCCAAACAGGAGCTCGCAACGTTGTGTTTAATTTAATCCAACAGGAGCTCACAACTAAGGTAAGGTGCTTTCACGTTCGACCTGTTTCGTTGCGAAGGTAAGCGGCTTGAATTCTAGCATCAACTCTTCTAGTTTCTCTCTCAAAAAGGCATTTTCTTAATCAAATACATATCAATTTTTTGTTAATGCATGTTGGTAGCTCTCTCAAATGTTTGTTCCAATATTTATGAACTTTGCTTCATAGAGAGTCCTTTTTATCAAAGATAATGCTAAAGAATCAAAGATATTTGTAATGGTTTCTTGGTCAAGTTTCCTTGGAATATTTGGAATGAAAGAAACATTTTCTTGGTAAAATTTGAACATGTGATGAGAATAATAATATTTTGCCTGAAAAGGGGGGCAATGAAAAAGATTATGCTGTGGAAGATTATAAAGAGAAAGAAAATGAGGCTATTTTAATTTATGATGATATATTTTGAGGATGCATAGTTTAGTTTTTAAATTTTAATTTGAGATTTGAAAACTAACTCCCAAAACTCCCACATATTTTTAGTAATTAATGTAGTTCATAGGGTCGGATTTCTTAATGCAACTATATAACTTAATGCATGAAATTACACACATGAATTTCATTTTATTAATTTTCATATTATCAATTTAATTAAATATTCATCTCTTCTAATAAGAAAATAGAAAACAAGAAAAAAGCATGCAATTGTTAATTTAATGACATTTAATAAAATTTAACGTAGACCTTCAAGTTCAAAGACAATTATATAACAATTGAAAATCACATCAAAATTTTGAGCTTCAAGGATCATATAAAGATGCGAAAGCCTTGTACACCATTTGGAATGAAAGAAACACTAGATACTTCGTATATTTTGAGCTTTCTTTTGGTGAAATCTTCTTATAAAAAATAAACATATCAAAACATTAAGAAAATATAAACTTCAAACTTTTTAAACAGGTCTCTAAATCATTTTAGAGATATACCTTTTTCTTTGTATTGCTTTCTTTATATTATTTTTTTCTTTATGTCCATCATTTTCATAAAAAAAGTAAATTCTAGTAATAGGAAACAAAGTGGGATTGTAACTTCAAATAAATTCCAGTAAAAGGAAACTCATGTCAATAAGGACAATGAACTATTTACTGTGAGTACTGAAAGGTCTATTGAATTGGTGTCATTTATACCCTCCAAATATATAAAAGAAGGAAACGATGTGGGATTGGAGCTTCAAAACATTCAAAGATAATATTAAATATAATGAATTATTTTTTATATTATTAATTTATTGTTTCATTTTAGAATACAACTAATGAATTATTAAATGATTTAGGGGATAAGGAAAAAATATATTATAGATGAAGAAAATTTTGAAGATGATTTTGACATAAATTATGAAGATTCTTCTGAAGACAGTAAAAATGATAATGAGATTGTCTTGGGTTTTGATCGTAGGCGTGTTTTCAGTTTTAAGTGAGTATTTATTTTGAATCTTGTATTATAGTAATATTTATCTTCAAACAAATCATAATATTCACAACTTACTTATTATTTTGTCATTTTTTGAATAATTTATAATTTTTTTACTACTTGAATTTTTTTTTTTTTAATTTTGAGGCTTACGCCTTGCCTTGCTCAGACAAAATGCCTCGATTTTCGATTTTGCCTTTTAAACATGATATAAAATCATAAGGATTTAATCTACCATCGAAATATGAAATGTATTTTTTAACCCTAAAATTCTAGTAACGTCTAATCTATTCTCTTCTAGATTAATGTTTGTCCTTATTAGATAATTCTTGAAATGCTTGATTGCAAGCATTTTCCATCTCACATTCAACTCAGTGGTCATCTGAGTGGATCGAATGTTAGTCATATTCACGCTTCTCACTTGCCGCTAGTCTATGTTGTAGTTGTTGGATTTCACATTGCGAGTCCTCTATAGCTATCTCTTGGCTTGATAGTGTCCGTTTCTCTTAGTGGCATCCAAACCTAGGGCTTTGATATCAAATTTGACTCTACAGTGACATTGTGGCACTAAACACAGAGAATACTAAGAACAACTTCAGCCCAAGAAGTATTTCAAAACTGTTTCCTATATAATTTAACAATTCTATTCTAATTCTATTCCCGAATATGATTACAAAAGAGACGTGATACGCTGTTACACACCCGAACAGAAAACCAAAATAAGTTTACAGTCCCGATTTTCTTTCTTGACTAGGTAGGTGCAATCAATAAATGTAGGTGATTGATTCTGCTCCGGAGACCTGACAGGCTCTGGCATGGAACTGGATGGGTCTTCCACAATTGCCGGCTGAAACTCTGGCCAAGGTGACCTCCCGTCCCGTGTTCTACTCCCGGGCTAAAACAGAGAGTAGCTGGCGTGGAAATGTTGCTTAAAACTGGGTGGAATTCCCACCAGCAACCTGCAGTAAAGAAAATCCGGATAAACAGCGTTCAAATGATCATATAAAGATCTAATTATTGAGATTAACAAAGTTAGAAAGACAGAGAACCTGATGTGAGAACTTCTTGATTGAAGATTAACGAAGTTATCACCTCTTCCAATTGATCCTTGCCAAATCTGGTTCTCGGTTTTCTTCCTGGGACCAGATTCTGGCTGGAAAACTAACCTGTTCGGGCAATTTCTTACAGATTGGATGGGTGGACATCTAGCAGTTACCTGAGAAGAAATGATTCTTGATGAAGAAAACTGCAACCCTTCAAAGAAATTTCAGGCTTTCACTTTCTGGGATCCTGTCCAGTCTCCTGGATTCTGTAGAAACGTGGCTATCACCTGCTACCCAGTCTGGAAACTGATGGCCAGAGGCATTGAAACCAAATCAATGATGGAGACTGGAGAAAGGCCGGGGTTTTATTGTTTCCTGTGGCGTTGACTGCTTTGGTTTCAAATGGAAAGGGGAAGGACTCTGGGTAAACCAATTTTTGCAAGGTCTTATACTCCACTATGATTTCCTCCTAAACTATGGAATCCACCCTAAGAATCTTAGGGTATCCTGAAAACAAACTAATCAAAAACTCCTAGCACAAAGCTTGGTTAAAAAGAAAACTATTAACTCCTAGGTTACCTAATTACTAAAATACCTCTTCTCCTAAGGAAATAAGAAATATATTCCATGTAATTTTTTTTTTAAAAGAAATATACCCTCCTATCTCTAACTTTGTTAGTAGGTGATTGTGGATTTATACTATCATTTTCCGCCTTCAAGAAATCGAGGTATTATCTTAGCTACGATTCATTGAACTCAAAGTTTAAATATATAAATTGTGTAAAACAGTTTTTAGCGTCCTTCTACTCTTATTTCCCATCAGAGTCGTACTAACAAAGAAAGTTTGTGTTACTAACTGTAAATTGGAATGAACATCTGCTTTGGCTGAATTCTAAATCATTCGTCATTCATTGGCTCTTTAAAACTTCTTGCATTTTGCAATTACAATTCACTCATTTTTTGCATAAACATCACATACCATACATTGAGCTTTACAATCCATTTGATTTGATACTATGTAGTAAAATGTAACTTAAGAGCTGTAGACCACCATCTAAGAACTACCGTTTTTTTCCATCATCTTTTAATCCACTATTTTCAACTATTTGCCTGCTTATTCTTTTCATCCTGAGTATGGTGAGCTTTTGTGTTCTTGAGTTAATGTATGCGTAGTTATGACTGAAACATCACCTTAGATCGTATCAGGAAGATCTATCAGGCCTTCCCAAAGTTACCAATGCCACAACACCTAATAGATCATGATGATGATGACATGGAAAAACTATCTGAAGCCTTGGTTGCAGCAAAAACTCGTGTTGAAGTTTGTTCTTCATTCTTGAAATCTGCAATCAGGTGTGTTGCTTCTTGTTCTCCAACAAGTATATCATGATTTGTTTCCTAGTTTATTTTCGTTATGACACGCAACAAATTTTCAGATTAATACGTCTTGATTGCTAAACTTTTCTCTTTGGTCTTAAATGTGGTACTTCATGCTGGCAAAACCTGTGAGCTCTTTTTTTAGGAAGGGCACATACTATTATAAGAAGCACTCAAAGAATTACATTTTTCCGTAACAATATACAATCATTGAATCCTGCTTCAGCCTGAAGTTTTCTTGTATAATTTTTTTGGGGGAATACTCAGAGTTAATTATCATCTATTCCATAGTTTGAACAAACTAGCAGTGCCTTGGTTCCGATTTCTTTTCCTTTCATGTTGCCTGCAAAAGCTCGATGATTATGTCTTAATGAGAAGAACTGGATTATGATGTTATTTAGGTATCTATAACTAGTCTAAATTTGGTTTTTGTTAAATTTAGAGAATTGGAGAGGGAAAAGGCTTAATTTTATTGCACAAACTTGTCCCTATTTATAGATCAATACAATATATGTTAATAAAGAAACAAATAATTACAGAATAATGCATAATTGCTCTAATATAATCCTTTCTAAATCAACCATCTAAATATGGAAGGTGATCAGCGTGATCCAGGTGAGCTTCCCCCGGATTCCCATCTTAACCGTAGGATCAAAATGCCAAGGGATGGTTAGGATTTAATAGGTGAGCCTCCCACGCATTCCCATCCTAGCCGTGGGATCAAAATGCTAAGGGACGATTGAGATTTAACACTCTCCCTCAAGCTGTAGAATATAGATATGTCATTCCCAGCTTGGTAATTAGTCCCAGAAAGATATTCTTATCGAGTCCCTTGGTAAGAATATCAACAAATTGGTCTTTTGGTGAGACATGGTCGATACATATAAGACTACTGTCTAATTTCTCCTTTATGAAATGTCTGTCCACTTTTATGTGCTTGGTCGTGTCATGTTGAACTAGATTGTGAGCTATGCTGATTGTTGATTTATTGTCACAGTGTACCTTCATGGGTCGTTCCCACTCGATCCTTAGGTCTTCTAGAATTATCTTTATCCATAGTAGCTCACATATTCCTAAGGCCATAGCTCTATATTCTGCTTCTGCACTAGATCTTGCCACCACATTTTATTTCTTGCTTCTCCATGTAATAAATTTTCCTCCAAGGAATATGCAGTATCCTGAGGTAGATCGTCTATCTACTGGTGATCCTGCATAATCTGCATCAGTATATACTTCTGGGGTTATTCCACAATCTTCTGAAGAGAATCCCTTTACCTAGGTTCCCTTTAAGATAATGCAGTATTCTGTCTATACAGCTTGCATGTGAGTTTGTTTTAAATTTTGCACGAACTGGCTGACCATGTTTATCTCAAATGTTATATCTGGTATGGTGTGAGAAAGGTAGATCAATTTTCTCACAAATCTCTGGTAAGCTCCTTTATCTACATTTGGATCTTCTTTAGCTTCCTCCAATTTGAGATTTGTTTCTACTGGTGTTGGTGCCGGTTTATAAGCTAGTTTACCCGTTTCTTTAAGAAGATCATTAATGTATTTTTGTTGTGAAATAAAGATTCTTTTGCTGGAATGGGCCACTTCAATTCCAAGAATTTTTTTTAATATACCAAGATATTTGATTTCAAGTTCCTTTGCAAGACATTTCTTTAGAATTATTTTCTCCTTTTCATCATTCCCAATCAAGATGATATCATCCACATACAACAACAACAACATCAAGCCTTTATCCCACTACGTGGGGTCGGCTACATGAAACCTTTTTCTCCATTTTGTCTTACTAAAAGTCAAATTCTCGTTTAAATCTAATGGAGAATGATCATTTCTAATATTTTATATCTAAATCTTTTTAGGTTTGCCTCTACCTTATTTAACATAAGTTAAATCTAGCACCTCTACTTTCTTAACCTGGTCATTGGAAGGCTGTCGTTTTATGTGACAAGATGATATCATCTACATAAACTAATAAAATTGTGACTTCCCCTCGGTTTGAGTACTTGAAGAATAATGTATGGTCTTCTTGGCTCTGTCGATAACCATTAAGTAGCATGACTTTTGAGACCCTTCCAAACTAAGCTCTAGGTGATTGCTTTAGCTCATATAGAGCCTTTTTTTTAACCTACATATTTTGTTACCCTGGATTGTTCCATAAATTTTGGTGGAATCTCTATAAATATTTCTTCTTCCAAGTCCCCGAGTAGGAATGCATTTTTAACATCTAACTATTCTAGATGCCAATTATAATTAGCTGCTAATGAGAGCAGGATCCTCACAGTATTGATCTTGGCCATATGTGCAAAGTTTCCTGGTAGTCAATCTCATACGTCTGAGTGTATCATTTCATAGGGCTGCAAACGAGACGAGCCGAGCCGAGTATGTGAGTGTTCATGTTTGTGTTCATTTAATATCAGGTTGTTCACGTTTTGTTCATGTTTGTTCGAGCTTTATTGTTTGTGTTAATGTTTGATTCATTTAAATTAATAAGTTTTCATGTTCAGTTCATGTTCGTTCGTTTAGTGCTTATCGAGCTTTAAACAAACAAACATGAACGATCTATAAACGAGCTCTACTTTTAGATGTTCATTAACTTAACAAATGAGCTTTATCGAGCTTCCTAACAAACGATTACATCGAGCATATTCGCGAACTTAATGTCCAGCTCTATTTATATTATTTATATTTATTAATTCTATAATCAAATATTACTAATTTTTATCAAGCTTATTCACGAGTTCAAAATTAAACACGAATTGAGCTTCTTATCGGGCTTAATGTCGAGCTTGTTCACGAACTTCAAATGATGTTGTTCGCGAACATAAATGAGCTGAACGCATTAGTGTTCTAGCTTGTTTATTTAAGAATCGAGTATTTAAAATATTGTTCAAGTTTGTTTGTTTAGTTAATTAAACGATCACAAACGAGCTTTAATCAAACCGAACAACGAATAGCTCGTCGAACGTTTGGTTCACTTGCAGCCCTATCATTTCACCACTAGTCTTGCCTTATACCTTTCTAATGTACCATCAATTTTATATTTCACAAAGAACACCCATTTGCAGCCGATTGCTTTTTCCCTACTGGTTGGTCGGTGATCTCCCATGCATTGTTCTTTTTTAGGGCCTGCATTTCATCTTTCATGGCACTTTTCCAATTTTCGTTAGATAAGGCTTCCGAAATATCATTAGGAAAATAATATCATTTTGTGTAAACAAAATTTTTTTGTGTGAAAATGAGAAGTTATGAAATGATACAAAGTTGGTTATGGGGTACAAGGGAGGTTCTTTGATGAACTTGTATTTACCTCAATTTCAGGAGACGATTCAGATTCTTGGATCTGTTTTGGAGCATAATTTTGATTTATACGCCTTGAATGCATTTTCCCAAACCTCATATTATCCATAATAGCTTTGTCCTTAGTTTCCCTGGCTTTGATTTCAAGTTTTAGGTGGATTGGTTTGAGGTGGAGCTGAAAAATCAAGAGGGGAAAGCTTACTTTCCTCATCTTCCTCAGTTCAGTCTGCCTATGAAGATGAGGTTTGGCGAAATAAGATTTTTGTTCATTAAAAGTAACATCAACAGATACAAGAGTTTTTTTGGTAGAGGGATGATAACAATTTAACCTTTTTTAGGTGGATGAATATCCGTCAAAGATGCATTTGAGTGCTCTTGGATCTAATTTTCCTCTATTTTGACCATGAATATGAAAATAGGCAGTGCACCCAAAGATTATGGGTGTGAGGTTTTATGGGTTCAAAATTCAGGTTAAAAAGATGATATAATATCTATTGGTGTCTTTAGTCCCAAGGTTGTTGAAGGTAGTTGGTTTATGAGATATGTGGTAGTCAGAAGAGCTTCCCCCCAGTAGGATTTGGATAAATTGTGGTGGAATGGAAGTGCACGGGTGGAGGCTAGAAGGTGGCCATTTTTTTTCTGCAACTTCATTTTTTTTTAGGTTATGAATGCAGGAAGACTCATGAATGATACATTCCTTTTGAAAGTAAGATGATAGAGTTTGGTTAAAATAATCTTTGACATTGTTGGAATGAATTTTTTTTTATTTTTACTCTAAATTGATTATGGATCATAGTGTGAAAAATGGGAATGATAGTGCTCACTTCAGATTTATTTTTGAGGAGAAATATCCAAGAGACTTTAGTGCAGTCATCAATGAAGGATACAAACCATCGGACTATTGAGATGTTAGGAATTTTTTAGGATCCCCAGGCATCACTATGAATAAGATAGAAAGAAGTATGACATATTTAAATTTTGTTTGGAAAAAAAACTCATTTATACTTGACTAACTCACAAGTTTCACAATGAAAAGATTCTTTTTCCAACTTGTAAAAAAGTTTTGGGTACATATTTTTTAAGACATCAAAATATGGATGTCCGAATCTAAAATGATGAAAGCTAAATAGTAGATTTTTATGAAATAAGGATAATATAGAATAACCATTATTGATAATAGTGGATTTATTTAGCTCTTTCAAGTTGTACAGTCCATCTCTCTCATTAGTAAGTCCAATCTTCTTTCCCAATTCCTGGTCTTGAAATAAGCAACAAGTAGGGTTAAATAGGATTTGACAATTATGATTATTGGTAAGTTTTTGTATAGAGATTATATTTGTGGATAAGTGAGGTAAGTGGAGCATGTTTTTTAGAGTAAGGGACGGAAATAAGGGTATGTCCTACTATGGTAAGAGAATCATTAGTTGTGATGATTTTCTTATCACTCGGGCAAGAAGTGTGGTTGATGAAGTGGGTAATGGAGTGTGTCATGTGATATGTGGCTCATGAGTCAATGATCCATACTCTTTTCAAATGATTTCTAGAGGCCCTTTTTATTTTATTTATTTTTATTTTTATTTTTTTTCTAGAGGCACTTAATTTAATGAATATATGAAATTTACCTGAAAGTGAAAGAGAAGAAGATGCAGGTGGTTTTTCAAGTGAGATCAAGAGTTGTTTTAGCCAAGGTTTTAAAAGGCGAATTCGGGAATCGAGGCGTTTTTTCTAAGTGAGTCGAGGCGTAAGCCTCGAGGTGGATCGAGGCGTAAGCCTCAAAACGATTAAAATAAATTAATTTAAAATTTTAAATAATGACAAAAAATAACAAAATATTATGTCAACTATGAATTTGAAGATTTGTAGCGGTAACTGAGCATGTACTGAGCGGTACCGGAGCAATTGTACTGAGCGTAACCCAGAGCATGTACTAGCGGTACCGAGCATGTACTGAGCGGTACGAAGCAATGTACTGAGTGGTACCGAGCATGTAAACTAGAGTGATACCAGAAGCTCGCTAACTAAAGCAGTAACTCGCCCAAGCTTGTACCTCGCTCCATACCAACCAAAACCAGGTCAACTGGCATGTACTGAGCGGACTATATGAAAGAGAACACGATAGAAGTTAATTACAAAGCTTTATCGTTACTGGCACGCTCAAAGTCAAGGCCACAACACTGGCATACCTTTGCTCTTCCGACCTAACCGATGGCCTGAACGTTTTCCTGCGCTGCACAACTTCGGTTGCGTTCTTTTCCCTGCATTGTCTCCTTTCGACTTCGTCTCCTACACTCACGGCTTCGTCTCATTCCCTCACGGCTTCGTCTCTTTCCCTCACGGCTTCGCCTCTAGTTCGCCTTTCAATTCTCACAGGAAGCCCTAATCCTATACGCGAATACACGAACACGAATCGGCTGCGTCATATTTACATATATACCAAAGAAAAAATTTCGAGGCGGTGCCTCATACTGCCTCGAGGTGTTATGCTCTAATGTGTACGCCTTGTGCAAAAAAATCGTAGGCTTCGCTGGATGGTTCGAGGCGTAAGCCCCGATACACATGACTTCCGCCTTGACTTGAGGCGCGACTCAATGCGGACGCCTCGTCCGCTTTTTTAATGGTTGGTTTTAGCTTATCAATATCTTCTTTGTTGAGCTCTTTGAAACTGGGATGTGTTTTTGGGTTGGGCTGACTTGTTGTATTGTTAGCTTGCGTGTTCCCCTTTGTCCACTTCTTTAATTCCATTCATTACTTGGGGGTTTCCATGTAACTTTCAGCATGTATCCTTTGTGTGTCTTGATTTCTTATAATAGCTGCACCAAAGGGAGTATTTGTCTTGAGGTTTTGAGGAATTCTTACCTATTTCCATTGCTGAACCTTCAACAATTTGGTTCGAGTATTACACCTTGTAGGATTTTCTCAACACGAATGAGAGAAATGGTCTCATTTAGTGAGTGTCTCCTCTTTGCCAAGGATTTGAAATATAACTTGGTCAAACTCTATATTTAATCCTGCAAGAAAGTCATACACTATATCTTTCTCAATAAAGCTTTTTTAGGATAGCCGCATCTTCTGGACACTTGGTCTCTATGAATGTAGTGTTTAAGTTCTTACCACAAGCTTTGAAGGAGAGTGACATATTCAGTCACGGTCTTGCTTTCTTGTTTGTGTTTCCCACCTTGACTTTAATTTCGAAGATTTGTGCAGCATCCCGAGCTTTTGAGAAGGTTTGCTTGGCGGCATCCCATATGTCTTTTGCATTAGATAGAAACATGAAAGTATCGCTAATTTCTGGAGTCGTGGAATTCCACAACCATGACATGATCATGGAGTTTGCTTCATCCCATGCCAAAAAATTAGGATCATCTTCTTGTGGTCCTACCCCAAGGAGGTGATTCATCTTTCCTTTTTCTTTCAAATAGGTCTTCCCAACTTGAGACCACTTCAAATAATTCTTTCCTTTTAAGTGATATGAAGGTTGCATATTTTAGGAATCTCCTCTTCCTTAGTGCACCATAGAGTCCTCCATTTGGTTAAAGCTTTGGGTGGAATTTGCTGTAGACATTGTGGCGTCAAATGGTAGCTATGAAGGCTATATCAAGAAGGGAAGTAGTGAAGACTGCGTTTGTTATAGACATGATAACAACAAGGGAAGGCCGGAAATAATGGCACGACAGTACAAAAAAAAAACTCAAAATTCCGGCAATGGCAATGAAGGAATTGATAACCTGTTAAATTCAGAGAATTGGAGAGGGAAAAAACTTAATTTTATTGCACAAATTTGTCCCTATTTATAGATCTATACAAGATATGTTAATAAAGAAACAAATAATTTAGAATAATGCATAATTGCTCTAATATAATCCTTCCTAAATCAGCCATCTAAATATGGAAGGAGATCAGTGTGATCCAGGTGAGCCTCCCACGGATTCCCATCCTAGCCATGGGATCAAAATGCTAAGGGACGGCTGAGATTTAATAGTTTTCTTAATTTGTTTTCTTTTCTCTAAGGTTTGGTGATGCATATATGGGCAATTTGCCTTACTTTGTTATTATTCCTTTCATGTTAAGGTTTGTTTTGGCTTACAGATAGTAACACCTTTGGGGCCTAGGTTATTTACAAGTCCCTATAGCTTTTTATTTCTTTAAATGGATGATAATTTTCAAAATTTTGCAACTAAGGATAGTTTATTCCATTTCGCAAACAAGGACCCGTAACCTTGACCTTTTGCCTGTGTTTTTTTCCTTATTGAATGGGTCAAAAAGGTTGACTGAAAACTACAACGTTACTGTACTTTTCGCAATTAGTTCTATAGCTTTTTCTTGTTTTGACAGTTAATGATTTTGTATTATTTAATGATGGCAAATGTAGGAGGGGGCAATGAGGGGGTCTGTGCTCCGCTACATTTCAAATATGTGTGTGTATATAAGGCCTTGCCACTCAATGTTTTCAATATTAAACATTTAATTTGTACCATTTCCAAATAATAAAAATAATTTGTGCCATCGATAAGAAAAATTTGTCTCTGTCAATTGTGTATGACTTCATCTTGTTAATTTGCATATTGTTCTTCGTTTTGATCAATATATAAAACTTTTATAATACAAAAGATTTAATGGTTTGTGTTATGCCATTTCTTTCATATTGTCATTTACTTCACATGTATAGATTTTCGCTTGAGCAGTTTGCTTGTCCTTTGTTTTTAGAACACCTTTTAGTGAGGTTTCATGGCTAAGTTATTCGACCATGTTTTGATGAATTTTTTTAAAGCATACCTTTAAAGCTTACATCACGATTGCCATTCATTCTGTTTTATTAGTTTTTATATTTTCTGAATACTTCTCTTTTAGGTGGTCAGCTGAGTACGGGGCTTCAAAAAGTGGCTGTCCTGAACTGCACTATATGTTGGCGGAATACATATATTCAGAATCACCTGAGCTGGTATATTGGGTTAACCCATTTTCTGACGTTAAAACTTTATACAGGTGTATTGAAGGATCTGTTGATATGGTTTTCAATTCAAATAAGATGAATGACTAGTGCAGCTTGTTCCCAAGATCACACTAAAAAAAACAAATGCTCGTGAAAATACGGATTAATAGGGAATAAGCAATATGCTTATTCAATATGGTATGCAATCATTAGATTTAATGAGAATTTGATTCTTAATTTGACAAAGTTAAAAAAGAATTCATGTAACCGACCCCACTTAATAGGATAAAGGCTTGATATTGTTGTTGAATGGTATGCAATTATTAACTCTCTTTGTTGATCTTAATACTCATGGGCGTTTCACTTTGAGTTCTATAAATGCTTTGTGATAAGAAAATCTCATATATTTGAAGTGAAAATTAATAAAATGATATGTAGTATATATCATGGTGAAGTTAGAGAGGATAAGGTATGTTTTGCTCAAGCAAAATTAATCATTTCTCTTAAGCGTCCTCAATGTGATGGGAAACTTGGGAGTAATTACTCTTGAGATAGATTATGTTTGATTTAATTTGATTCTCCTTGATCATAAACTATGGTTTATTTAAATTTTGAGTCAATATTTCTTATGGGTGCCAACTCTCATAATTAATTATCCCTCTACTCATTTGAGAGTATTCTCAATCAAGGAAGTTGCTTATTCTCACTTTTACGATCGGATTTTGAAATCCTGTTGAATTTTTACTCATAAGGAATGGTTTACTTTAGGGGGGAGGTAAACCCGTTCTACCAATTTTTAAGGGCTTTGAAACAAATCTGATTAACAACTAAGGATCTCCTCCTTTCATAGATCTTGAGTTGAATAGTGTGAAAACATGTGTTGAAGATTTGTTTTTGAAGTTGGTGTAAACTCGTTCTCTTGAAGAGGATTGATCCTCCCTATTCCACAAAAGTTCTGAGGCAAACAACATGGCTACTTGTAGATCAAAGGTATGGGACATGATAAACTAGATCTAAAAAGCATAACATGACTAATGGTTGTCCATGAGTTTCAAATCGATTTGGAAAATCATGTCTTTTACAAATATAAGATTTTCTTGTTGCGTATGGTTTTAATTGATGGGCTTGTTAGCATGAAGGCTAACTTGAGTTTAGTTTTGATAGGAGCTTGCATTCATTGCATAACCCAATTTTTTATTTAATAAGCTTGTTTGCTATGTGTGGATCCAAATTAATTATGATGGGACTCACATCCTCCAGAAGACCCATAAATAAGATTAATATCTTCAATGACGAGACAAACACAGAGATGAGCCTTGTGATTTATCCTATAATAAAGGTGGCTTGATTGATTATATTTTGATTTTTCTATGTAGTGTGTATATTAATGCGCATATTGAGGTTTTATCTTAGATCAACTAGTAACAATAAGATTAAACCTAAATCCTTGATTTATTTGCCCGCTCAATCCACTTGAGATCTTTTGAAGATAAGTGGAGGAATTTTATGATCAATTGGTTTAACAAGAGGTATGTTGGAACCCTTGGTGTAGGTTTAGGGTCTTTTAAGGGTCTTATGTATATTGGTACACTTTTTGATGTAATAGCACGAATATTAATGCTACAACACATAATTGGAGTTTATGGACATTTGTGATGTACATAGTGGTGCTTTGTCCTTAATTATCTTTTAGATTGTTTTGATGATTGGGTTCATTGACGTAAAACTTTGGGTGAATATTTTTGTTGTTTTTCATGAATTATCATTTTATTGTAAGATTTTTGTTAAATAATGCAATATTTCATGTGGTATATAAAATTTGTTTAGATGTAAAAACTTGAAAATTTTTGAAAGATATGAAAAGGCTCGTAAGGAGTCTAAGAAAGCAATATGCTATGCAAACAATTAAACTTTTAATGATTTATATAATAGATTAGTTCCTAAGGAGAATGAAAGATGTATGTATAAGTTAGCCAAGTAAAAAGATAGGAGAAATAAGGATTTAATTCAAGTGAAGTGCATTAATGATGAAGATCAAAAAGTGCTTTTTAAGAAAATAAAATTCAACAAGGATGGTTGAGATATTTTGTTAAGCTTTTCAACGAAGATTGTGAGAATTCGACTGACTTTAGTGACCATAGCACCCTAAATGAAAATAAAAGTTTTATTTTTATCCACGTATTAATAAAATCAAAGTTAGAGACTCTAAAGAAAATAAAGTAGGAAAAAAGTGTTGGACCTGATGATATTCCAATAGAGGTGTGGAAATGCGTAGGAGATGAAGAAATTTCTTGGCTTATGAAACTTTTCAATATTAATTTGAAGATTAAAAACATGTCATATGAGTGAAAAAGTGTGTTGATTCATATTTTTAAGAATAAAGGTGATGCACAAGAGTGTGCTAATTATAGAGGAATTAAGTTAATTTGTCATACTTTAAAACTATGGGAGAGAGTTGTTGAGCATATATTACAATGTGATACTAATGTTTCTCAAAATTAATTTGGATTCATGCCAAGTAGGTCTACTATGGAAGCTATACATTTATTGAGAGGTTTGATGGAGAAGTATAAAGTTCCATGAGAAGTGCTATGGAGAGTTCTAGAAAAGAAAGAGGTTAATAATGCTTATATTCAAGTCATTAAGGATATACATGCAAGAGTTGTTACTTGTGTTCAAACGCAAGGTGGTTTGACCAAGTATTTTCCTATTTCAGTTGGATTGCATGAAGTACCAGCTTTAGGCCCATATATTTTTTGCTCTTGTTTTAGTCATGGATGTTCTTACTAGACATTTGCAAGAGGGTGTACTCTAGTGTATGTTTTTTGCTGATGATATTCTTCTTATTGATAAGACTAGAGAAGGAGTTGAAGGTAAACTTGAATTATGGAGGTCAACTTTAGAGTCTAAAAGTTTTCGTTTTAGTAGATTCAAAACCGTATACATGAAGTGTAATTTTAGTGTAACATATATAGTGGGGGGATTGTGACTTTGGGTTATCAAGTCATTAATAAGAATACATGTTTTAGATATCTCGGATCTATTTTTCAATGTGATGGTAAAATAGATGTGGATATTATTAGTAGAATTCATGTTGGTTGGTTGAAGTGGAGGAATGCATCGGGCCTATTATGTGATAGAAAAATACCCCTTAAACTTGAGGAAAATTCTATAAGATGGTGGTGAGACATGCAATGCATTATGACACACAATTTTGGCCTTTAAAAGAGAAGCATAAATTTAAGTTAAGTGCTGAAGAGACGAGGATGCTCAAGTGGATGAGTGGCTTTATGATAGGAAACACTTGTAGATCTCAAGTATTTCCTATCAATCTTCAGAAAACATCGAGAAATCTCCACAAAAATTCTCACAAAACCACAAAAACAGTAGATAATTTGTATTATTTTATGAAATAGAAATGGAAAATATCAAGATACAATTGATCCTCTATTCGAGAGGAGGATCCATCTCTCCCAAATCTCTAAGTCTCTAGACGCCGCTAGAGTCCAAAAACCTAAACCTAAGAGATCTCAAATTTCAGCCAATTCAAGATGCCCTAACCCTAAGAAAACAAACTATTTAATGCATACAATTCAAAAGGAAATCTCTAAATTGTCCCTACATTCAATTTTCCTCCTAAACTTCATAAAAAATCCTTCCAAAACAGCTCTTTTTGAATTGGTAGTTTGACCGACATGCAGGACACGGAGAGTTCCGCCTCTGTTGTTCGTAAGCCGGTTTGGTATGGACCGCTTGATCGATCCAGTGGACCGATCTAACACTTTACTATTTATAGACAACATGCGAAACGAGCATATACGTGAAAATGTTGGAATAACTCCAGTGGCATATAAGATTAGGGAGTCGCCTTAGATGGTTTGTTCACGTAAAACGTTGACCTTCTGATGACCCGGTTAGGAGAGTAGAAATATTAGATTTGTCCTATGTTAAAAAATGTATAAGTAGACCTAAAAAGATTTGGTTAGAAAAATATTAGAAATGACCTTTTTTTATTAGATCTAAATGAGAATTTGACTCTTCATAAGTCTCAGTAGAGAAAAAATGATTCAGGTAGTGGACCACATGCTAATATTTCATGCATAAGAGTAAATTAATGTGGTGTAATGAATTATTCATGCATGAGCGGGCATTCATGTAGTCTTACATTAGCCTAACCATTGCCATACAAATCAACACAAGAAAATCAGGTCGCTTAATGGAAAAATCAGCCAAGGTTAAAAGACATCAAATTCAAGTTCAATTCACATAAAAAATGTCCATTTAAGTATATATTGTATGCTATGCATGTTAGTTGCAAAGAATCTTTCAATATGTGATTGGGCTAGCCATGAGTCATTTAAATCAAGGTTTATGCATGAAGATGATTGATGGAGGACCAAAAATCAAATTCAAGATGCATTTATATGATTAAATTGACTTTCCAAATTCTAATTTGTGCAAATATGGAAGAACTCAATCAATGCATTTGGAAGATACACCCTCCCTAGGAGAACATTATGAATTCAGCCATGGGCCACTCATTGTATTCCTCGACTTTTTTTTATTTCCTATGAAATGACTCATTGTATTCTTCATGACTATGTGCTTGCTTTCTAAATTCATGCATTAGAAATCCTATGTATAATAGATTACTTATTTTGTTAGCAATGTGATACCCTTTTAATATTCTCATTGTAGAGGATTTGGTGATCCTTTTATCAAAATGATATTAAGATTATCCTTTTTCAACCTCTATCACAAACCTTTCAAAGTGAATATATATTTAACATATTTTGTACGGTCTTTTGGGCTTTGAAAGATGCCTCACCTTGGAGAAAAGGAAAGGAAATATAAAATTTTCTGCTCTAGAAAATAGAAAATATATTCCTCATCTCCTGGTGAGAATATTTGAGAGATTTCACGATTAGTTTATCTTTGATATTTTGTTTGAATGAAATAGGGATTTAGATAAGTTTAATTTTAATTTTTTGGTAGAGGTTGCCATATGA